CCGCGCCCGGTGCTAAGCGAAGCACGTTCCGGATGGGAGCGCAGCGGCAGGTGTGGTCTCCGCCCCGCAAAGTCCCGCGCTTCGGGTGGCGTCGGGCGCTCGTGGGAGCTCGAGGCTGACGTGCGGGGTCCCGCCCAGGGCGTGCGGGGCATCCCGCGCGGCCTCACCGGGATGCATTTCAAAAAGCGAAGTTCTCACCTTTCCTAGGACTTTCCAGAACTTTCCTTCTCTCTTTGGGGCCTTTTGTGGCCCCTCTCCCCGTCCCCGGGCGCGGACGCGCGCGGAGCTTCCACCGCGTCCCGGGCGCGCCGCGTCCCCGGCTTGGGCAGCTTGGCACCGTGGCCAGGGCCGGGTTTCCGGGGCCTCCCCTGTCAAACGGGAGCGGTCCGCCCTGCGCTCCTGGGGCGTGGGGGGACCTGCGGCGAGTTTACGCCCGCGCGGCGTGGGCCCAACGCGGCCTCGGCGGTGGGCTCGGCCGGGAGCCCCGTGGCGGCGTTTCTGTCCCTCCCAACGCCTCAGTTTCCCTCGGGCCCCCAGGAAGGAGGTGCGCTCCCGGGACGGACCGCGGAGACGTTCTAGGGAAAGAGAGGGGGGTCGGGGTCGCGATTTCAGGCGGAGGCGATGGCCTCCCGCGCGTTTCCCCCACGCGTCCCCGTGGGCTGCAGTTGGCGGTCACGGGGCGTGGGAGGGGGATCCCCATGCCCCGCACTCCCGCGCACGTCCCAGTGGAGCTCCCCAGCCTCGGAGCCCCCTTCACCGCCCGCGACCCCCGGAGAGCCGCCCGTCCCCCTTCCGGCCTCTCCCGGACTCCCGGTGGCGCGCGATCCCGCTCCGGCCCCGCCAGGATCCGGGGTCCCCCAGGCAGGAGGCCCGCCTGCGGGGAACGGAGACCCGGGGAAGTCGTGAGGCGCCAAGTCCGGGTCTGGCCTCCGGGGGGCGGGCGAGCCGAGCGCAGGGCCCGGGGCCTTCCCGCGGCGGGCTGGCGGGGTCGGCGGGGGCTGAGCGGCTCCGGGCTTTTTTTTTTTTCTTTTTGAGGGGGTGAAAGGCGGGCCGTGCTTCTATCGGAACCCCTCGAAATGACGGTCGACCGATCTCATAAGGGAAGGGAATCGATCTCACGGTGCCTGGAGAAGTGTGCTAGCCCGGGGCGGGGCGGGGGGGGGCGGTGAGGCTCCATGGGGCCGAGGGCCCGCTTGCTGGACTGAGCCTCAGGAGGTCCTGGGCAGCCCTGTCCAGTCTCTGGAGCAGTGGGGGACGTGTGTGCCCAGACCCGATCTCCCAGGAAGCTCCAAGAAGCTCAGCAGGGAACCCTCATCCCAAGGGAAACACTGGTGTCTCTGTCTGTCTCTCTGTCTCTCCCCCCCCCCCCCACTCCCCGTGATTCCTTCCAGATAAAAGTGTTTTATCCTAATAGGCGTAGGTTCCCTTTCCTTACTGCTTCCTTTCCCTCCTTCCCTCCCGCTTGTTCTTTCTCTTGGAGAGGAGAGAGATGAAGAGCGTCCCGATATTTCTAATAGAGCTTCCCAGAGGTTCTGATTCTGCAGATATGGGCAAAGCTGGGAAATCAGCGTTTCCAACAAGTGTCCCCACCCCCGCCCATCCAACTCCCTAGGAGCCCAATTTATAAAGGAAGAGCCACGGAGCACTGCGCCCAGGCGACGCGGCACATCCCGGCTGGTATGCCCAGGAAATAAAACGCTGCAGTCTGTCCACTTCAGCCACACGCGCTTTGTCTCAAGAGGTGGTGAAAACTTCACACGAGGGGAAGATTTTAAAATATTCAAGAGATTTTTTTCCTTCCTCAAAGCTTAAGATTGCATTTATCAATTCTATATTCACCAGAAGATATCTACCAAAAAGCGATTACTCTACTGGCCTGGGTGTCATTCCCAGTGTTCTGTCAGTCTTGCTGTCTCTTCTCCACTTTCTCGTTAGCCTTCTTTTCTGTTTAAACACTTACTTTATAGGATGCAAGTCAGGTTGAAAGCACAAGGACACGCCGTAGAAAAGCTGTGAATATACTTTGATTAAAGTAAGGAACACACATCATCTCAGATGAGGTACCAGATGCCTCCACACAACCAAAGGGAATTTAGTCTTATCAAAAGATTCCTGCCCACTTGTATTTTAATTCCATCTCTGGCTTAGCTGATGTGGACATTGTCACCCTCACATTTCATTTAGTTTCTGGGGACAACAGCTCTGGGAAGGAGTTGGGCTACTGAAGGTTCCTTCCTGGTGCCAATTTCTCATGGGGGAGAGTAAGTTTCAGGTGTCTCAGCAACCTGTTCAGATGTTTCCAGATTCTACCTGCCCTCCAGAAACCCATGTGTTATGTGCTCCTGTTCCCCCCTTCTCTACAACTTTGGCAACTATTCGTTTCCTTATTGTATATTCCTGTCACTGCAGCATGTACCCAGTCACACTCAAGTTGAAGTCCTGCAGGCAGTCCACTACAAAGTAAAATGGAGGCCCACATAGTTTAACTAGAAATGGGCTGTGTCTTATGCTAGACCTACCTGTGACCCACTGATAGCAGAGTAGCCTCTGCTTCCTGACCGAACCCCTACCTGAAGGTTCCCCACCCCCAGCTGTGGGAAGGGATCAAGTCTTGGGATCCCTGGGGCTGGGGCATGAAGTTCAGCTTGAAGCTTTGGAAAATCTTAAGCAGGCCGAATTTCAATTGTGTACTTAAATTTTATAGAGAAGAGCCATCTTCCCTCTCCAAAATCCTCCCAGTCTCCCTACCACTTCCCCCTCCAGAGCACCTACAGCATGCTTGGAACCCGCTGCATGCTCTGGGGGTCCTCAGGGAGTACCCTCATCTCTTCAGGAAGAGAGGACATTAATTATGGTACCAGGGAGAGAGTCCTCACACATAAGTGGTCCAGACTAAATGCGGTCTGGGCAGGACATAAATGTCTGAGAACAGTGACCTAGCACACCTGCAGGCCTGGGACACACTTTCGTACTGTTTCCTTCTCTCCTCACTCTCACCTGCCTTCTTCTGTTCAACATGGACTGCCCATCACCCACTGATGAACACTCACTGTTTTCCTCACCAAACCCAAGAGCTTTCTAAATCAAAGGACCAAGGAAGGCTGGCAAGAAGGTAGACCAGGATAGCTGGCAGAGAATTTCCCAGTAGGAGTCCTTTAGCAGACAGTCAGGGAGTTCCTTTGAGGGCAATGGAACAGAAGTTCACCGCATGCCTATTAGAGGTTACAACCTGCTTTAAAAAATGAGGGGACCCATTACTCAGAATCATTTAGTTATTTCCGTCGCCAGCCACAAGTATCAATGCCAATTCCTTCCTCTCTTTCCCATTTCATCTCTGTCCCTCCCCCGCCCTCTCTTTCTTTCTTCTCACCTTTCCTCCCTCCCTCCCTTTCTCTCCATATGGCAGAGACAGAAGTCAGGGAGGGTTTGAGGATTTGTTTGAGGCTCTTTTAACCCTATACCAAATAACCAACGAATCAGAGATGTGTATGTTGTTGCTGTTTTGTTACTCTAAAGAAGGGGGGGGGGAGAGGACAAACTACTTTGCGGCGAGGAGGAGGAGAAGCTGGGGACTGAGTTTGGGAAAGCTTTAAAACACAGCCCCCGTGAGATCGTGAATCCCACCATTCACGTTCTCCAGGGCTGCGGGAGGGAGGAGGAGAGCATCGATGAACCGTGCTTAACCCCAGTGGCTTCTAGGTTAGCGGCGCAGCGAGCAGCATTTCAGAGAAGCTCAGGCCGGAGCCCAGGCCCCTCACTCCCGGAGGAAGCACGGAGCCTCGTTTAGGAGGGGCCCGGCGTTCTCCGACTTCTCCCGGGCGTCCCCAGTATCCCTCCCGGACCCAATCCCGAGTTCCTACTGTTCAACCCCACCCCCTCCCCTCCTCCCAGCGAAGAGGTAGGCACCTGGGCTGCGCGTCCTGCTTTTTTTCTGCCCGGGCTCGCCTGTCACGTCCACTTTTTGCCCCCGACGTCCCAGGACAGCGGAGCGAGCTGTGCGCCATCGTCCCAGCGAGGACGATGCAGCCCGGGCGTCTCCAGCGAGCCCAGGGCGCGGGAGAGGACGCTCGGGGGACCGCCATCGCCTGGAGGCGCACCCTCCGCACAAAATCCCCGGGAAGGATGCACCCCGCTCCTTCCCTCGGTCCCCCCCTTTCCCTGCTCCGCCGGGTCCCGCTTCCTTCCCATCCCAGAACGCCGAGGCTCGGCCCTCCCGTCCGCCACTTTGCCAGGAACTTTGGCCGGCTCCCCAGCGCCACAGAGAGGACGATGCTAATGAGGGAGCGTGGCCTGGCGCGACGAGCCAGTCGACTCCTGGGCTGCGATTGGCTGTGGTGAGGCGGAAGGATGACGTTATGCAAAGAGGGGGCGTGGCCTCCGCGCTCAGGCCCCGCCTCCTCCCTTTGGGGTTAGTGTGCCTGTGTTTAGCTCTGGGGAGACTCAAACTGGATTCCATAGGGAAAGCCTGCAAATCACTTCTATTTTAGCAAGGAGAAAACAGAATCTCCATCCAGCGGGGTCCACCCCTCTCTCTTTTTCCCTCTCCTCTCTTTCTATCTCTCTTTCCCTCCCCCTCCTTCCTCTTTCCCTCTCTCTCTCCCCTTCCCTCCCCCTCCCCTCCTCTGGTGTATCTGTCTACGGCAACCAGCGTCCTCCTGATCTACACGCACTGAAAGGAAAGAAACATCTTTGGATGGGAGAGAAGGAGGAAAAAAAGAGAGAGGAGAGAGAGAGAGAGAGGAAAAAACTTGCCTGGTTGTGGAAAATGACACTTGAAGTAGCAGAGCCGGCAGCGCGAGTTGAGTCTATTGTTTCTTAAATTGCCAGCAGGGTTTTTTTGTTTTTGTTTTTTTTGTTTTTTTTTTTTTTTCTTCCTGCCTCTTCAAGTGAGGGTACCTCTACAAAAGGAAACTCCAGCCCCTCCTGTCCTCCACCCGCCTGTGATCACTACAAAAAAAAAAAGCAAAAAAAAAAAAAAAAGCAAAAAAAAGCACCCAAACCAAAAATCAACCAACCAAACAACCCCAACAGCCAAGCACACATCTCTGATTTTTTTTTAAAAAAAAAATTGGTCTTTTCGTTGGATTTTCCCTTTTTTTCTTCTTCCCTCCACCCCCGAGTTATCTCAATTTTAAGGGGTTTACTTTTTTTTAATCTGCTTTGCAGCCTGCCTTGGTCTTCTAGCGCGAGTTCATCGACTCAAAAAAAAAATCTCTGGTTGGCTTTTTTTTTTTTTTTTTAAATATTTTCAAGGGGGAGGAGATTTTTCCACCAGAAAAGGTTGTTTTCATGTTTGGGATTCAGGAAAGCATCCAGCGGAGTGGGAGCAGCATGAAGGAAGAGCCGCTGGGCAGCGGCATGAACGCGGTGCGGACGTGGATGCAGGGCGCCGGGGTGCTGGACGCCAACACAGCCGCGCAGAGGTGGGTCCGGCGCGGGGGGGAAACCTGGGCGAGCGAGCCGGGCGCGGCGAGCCGGCGGGCGGCGGGGCCGGGGCCGGGGCCGGGGCCGCGGCGGCGGCTGCGTCCGCCCGCGCTGCTCGGCTCCGCTCCGCTCCGCTCCCCGCCGGGTCTCCGGGCCCGGCTGCCGGGCTGCAGGCTCTCGTCGCCGGCGGCCGGACTGGGAAGCGCCGCCGGGGAGCCGGAGCTCCGCCGGCTCTCGACTCGCCCGCGACTGTTTTCATTTTGTGTTAACCCAGAAAAGGCTTCTTGGTAGCGCGGTGTTGGGGGAATCTGTATTTGTATGCGATTGCTTCTCATTCTCCGGCTGCTCAGTCTTTTCCTTCTTTCTTCCTTTGCTTTCTTCCTTCCCTCCTCTTCCTTCCTTTTTCCCTTCCTTCCTTCTCTTTCTTCCTTTCCTTCCTTCCTTCTCATTTCCTTCTCTCTTTTCTTTTTCCTTCCCCTCTCTCATTTTTTTCTGTCCTTTCCTTTCTCCTCTCCTCCGTTCCTTTTTCTCTCCACTCTGACTTTTTCGTTCCCCCCTTCCTTTCTTTCTCCCCATCTTTCCCCTTTTCCATTTCTTTAAATGCTCTTTTCTTCCTTGGCTCCATACACGTCCCCTTCCCGGCTTCCTCCTTCCTTTCCTCTTCTCTCTCTTCACACGGTCCCCCCCCTCTTGCCTCTTCCCTGATTCCCCCCCCCCTCTGGTTTTCTCTCTCCATTTCTCCCTTGAGTTTTCTCTTATTTCTCCTGTCTGGTTCTCCCTCCCTGGCTTCTCTAGCCTGCAGTGCTTTCTCAGTCCCGTCGGTAGAATAGCGACTCCCGAGGTTAATTCTCACCTCTCCTCCAAGCCACCCCACGCCGGCACCGGCCTCCTCCCGCGCCTCTCCCACCCGGCGCTTCCCAGGTGGTCCGCGAGGCGCCGCGGGCGCGCTGGCCCGGGAGGCGGACTTGGAGAACTTTCTTGGGCACACTCACTGCCCTTTCCAGGGGTTCAGGTCCCGAGTGAAAAATGGTACCCCCCCCCGCCCCCTTAATTCCCAGGCACCAGCTGGGCTTTGGGGAGTGGGAGACGCCGAGGGTGCGGAGCGGGAAGAAGGCAGAGGACTCATGACCCCCCCCCCCCGGCTTCCCAGGGCCGGAGACAAGTGTCCCCCAGCCCCGTCCCCATCCCCGCATAACGCGAGGTTGGGGGTGGTTGATAGTGAGAGTGAATTGGGTAACTGGGCTGGAAGCGAAAGTGCGTGCGTGTGTGTGTGTGTGTGTGTGCGTGTGTTGTGTGTGGGTTTGTGCACCTCACTGAGCTCGTGTTGGGCACTGGGGCTGTCACGGTGTCCAGTACCCCCCCCCCCCCCCGTCTCCAGGCCTAAGCGGTCGGGCTCGGCCCCCAGCCCCCGGTCCTTTGCGATCCTTTCTCAAAGCAGCAAAACTTTGTCAGGACAGCTCTTGGAGGAACACCCCCATTCTTTTCCGCACAGTGACCCCCCTCCCCCGGCTCATCGTTCTCCACTCGCTTGTCTGGGGGTGGGTGGAAATAGGGCTCCCCAAGACCCCAGCACCCGCAGCTGGCCGGGGCGCGGGAGGCTTCCGGGGGTGGGGAGGGGGCGGCCGCGGCTTCCCCGCCCTGCACCTGCCCGCGAGCTCCGGACCTCGCCCCGCATCGCCCGGTTCTTGGTTCTTCCCGCGCTCCCCACTCCGCACGTGGCGCGCTTCGGGTGGGAGCCGGTGCGCGGCGCACCTCGCCGGGCCCTGCAGACACCCCGGGCCAAACTTTCACACCTCTTCTCGGAGGGGGTCCCCCCAAAACTGCGGACCTGCTCGGCCCTCGGTGGGGAGGACGAGCACGTGCGTGCGGAATGGGGTGGGAGGCACGGCGGTGATCTGCTGCAGCGCCCCGGGGGGGAGGGGGTGCCCGCCTGGGGCTCGAGGGGCGCCCCGGCGGCGCGTGGGGGGCCCGCGGGGAGCAGGGGGGCGCGGCGCGGGGCTGCGGCGAGGCTAACTCTCTGCGTCTCTGGCCGCAGCGGGGTGGGTCTGGCCCGGGCTCACTTCGAGAAGCAGCCCCCTTCCAATCTGCGCAAATCCAACTTCTTCCACTTCGTCCTGGCCCTGTACGACCGGCAGGGCCAGCCCGTGGAGATCGAGAGGACGGCCTTCGTGGGGTTCGTGGAGAAGGAAAAAGTATGTGGGCGCAGCGCGGGGGGCGGGGGGGAGCGAGGCACAGGGCCGTGGAGAGGCATGCACGTGTGCAAAGCACCCGTCAGCGCTCCCGTTTGGGGATCCCCTCCCCCCCATCTCCCACCTCCAACCACCAAGCCACTTCCCGTCCTGGACGAATCTGGGCTCTGGGTCCCGCTCCAGAAAAGCTCCCGTGGAGCCAGGCCACGGGCGCCCGGAATAAACCCATTTCACCCAGTCAGCGGGCCCCGGGCCCCGGGGCGAGGATCGCCCGTGCGCACCCCACGGAAAGTTCTGGAAGGGTGGTGGAGAGGGAGCAGGATGGCATGGGGGCGGAGGAGGGATCAGTTTGTCACAATTTCTGCAGCTACTGGGGCTGGCCCGCTTCCCAGCTGGTGGGGTGGGGTGGGGGTCCTGGTTTTGGGGGGAAGGTGCTTGGAAGTTGGTCCACTGGCTCACTCCGACCTCTCTCCTGCGTCTCTTGTGTTTTTGCATTGTGCTGCTGCTGCTGCAAAAATTAAAACAACCCACCAGGAAGCCAACAGCGAAAAGACCAATAATGGAATCCACTACCGGCTCCAGCTGCTCTACAGCAATGGTGAGGCTTCCTGGGGTCGTGGCCGGGGTCCCCCGGAGCCCTACGGGGGACGGGAGCCTCCGGCGCAGCTCGGCCGGCAGCCTTGCACCAGGTGAACCGGCCTCTCCTTAAAAGTTTCACCTGCGGAGGCCCCGCGTGCGCACTCGAGGCCAGGTGTGCGCCCCGGCCTCGGCCCTCGCCCCGCGCCCGGCCCTCCCTGCCAGCCGAGGCCTGCGCTCCGGCCCAGCCCACACGCCAGGCCCGAGGCCCAGGGCCGGGCCTTGACCGGGGCCCTGGGATACCCAGGCCCGGAGGACGGGGACGGGGTGGGGGGTGTCTTGCCCATGGCCTGGGGATGGGGTCCCCCCAGCCAGCTCCTTTGGGGTTCCTGGAGGAGGAAAGTGCGGGCTGCGCTCTCCAGGACGGCGGGAGTCCCCACCGGCCTCTTGCGTGTGAGTGCATGTGAGTGCGTGTGTGTAAGCCTGTAAACCAGTCGTTTTTGTGGTCCCCCTCTCACTCCTCCGTGTCCCCCCTTTTCCCTCCCCAGGGATCCGGACAGAGCAGGATTTCTACGTGCGCCTCATCGACTCCATGACCAAACAAGTAAGTGTCTCCATCCCACGCCGGCCCTGTGGCCGGCCGTGCGGGCGACCCCCTCCCCCCGCACCCCAGGTCACCGTACTGCGGGGAGGGGGTGTCCCGAGCAAGCCGGAGGGACCTCGAGGCCGGAGCGGGCCGGCGGCGCGGCCTCGCCCTGCGGCCTTCCCTCCCGGGCGCCTCCGCGGCCTGGGCCTCTCCGCGTGGGGACGGCGCCTCGAGGCTCCCGGGTCCTCCCGGGAAGGAAACTCGGGCCCGGGGCCTCAGCCGAGCCAAGCTGGGGCTGCACTTCCCCCGACTTGGGGTGCAGAAGGTGCTCTGGGACCCGGACGCGGCGGCGGGGCGCGGGGACACCGCAACTTGGAAACCCAAGCCAGCCAGGGCCTCCGGGGGAGGCCGGGGTAGAGGAAGCGGCGCCCGGGAGCTTTCCCGGACGGGGGAGGCGCGGGCCGAGAACGCACACGACCCTGGCACACACGCAGTTATTTATTTATTTTTTAAAGGAGGTGGTTGCAGGAGGGTAGTGTGGGGAAGAAGGAGCGACAATTGTCAGATGATATTTTGAAAAAAAAAAAAAAATCCTCCTGCCTTTTGCCTCCGAGTTTGGCAGGAAGCCAGGCAGCCTGAGCTTAGCTTGCCCGTCTTAAAGGTACATAGACGGCGTTTTCTTAGGCTTCCAACACGCGGGTGTCAGGCAGTATACATTAAGGTTGACTTATGGTTTAAAAGATACAATTATGAGCCGAGTCAGAAGAGAGGCCTGACATTTTAATGAGACACAGAAGTTTTTTTTTCCTTCTTCTTCTTCTCCCCTTATTAATTTTAAGAAAAAGTTTAGTTTCAGAATGAAGTAGCTGGTTTAGGTAGTTGGAGGATTTTAGTAGCAGCAGAAAAAAAAAGAAGACAGCTTTATTGGGTGGGAGAAAGAAATCAGAACAAAGAGAAAAGTTATCCTGGGTATAAGTAACAAGTAGTTTAGGGAGAGGATTAAAATTTGTTTGATTGTTTTTTTTTTTTTTTAACTTTTCCCTTTAAAATAAAGGAAATGACCTTTCCTAAATACTGGCTTAGAAAGTTTAGAATTAGGGTATGTATGCATATTTAAAAATTGCTTTAGATATGCCATGTATAACTCAACTAGGTTATACAAAATACATAGTGATGTGCTGTTGGGAGTTTTAAAATCTCAATAAGAAACAACTGAAGAACAGCTACTTTAGATTATCACTCTCATTGGGACCCAAGTTTAAAAAAGTAGGAGAGTATAAAATCCGTTAAAAATAATACTTAAGTATCTATTGAACTCAAGTTCATATTATTTCCCCCAAATATTTGTCTTTTTTGGAGATACTTTCCACTTCTTGGTGGAGAGCTCAGAGTTAAGTTCACATGTACACTTAGAGTAAGTTCACATTTTAGTTTTGGACTGCTTTAATGGATTTGGTTATTGCATAGGCTAGCTCTCTTTCATTTGGATGCTATTTTGTTAAAAAAAATTTTCCTGTCAAGCAGGAAAAGCTTGGCTTTAGTGACTTTTTTTTTCTTTTATAATATCAAAACAAAAATGTCTTAAGTGGAGATTTGTTTTCAGAAATTGTCTTTGATACCCTGGGTGCCCTTTCCTGTCATTCTCCTCAGTAGGAGCGCAGGGAGATGGGAGGGGAAGGTATGAACTCTAATGTACACCCCACATGTATTTGTTGGGATTACCTTTTTAAAGCTTACAAAGTACAATTAAGTATTTAGGGATTGTGTGTTTCTGCAACTCTGGCCACTTAAATATTAAATTACAATCAGCACTATAAAACAAGCAGTTTTCAGGAGCACAAAATCAGGATAGGCCTGAAGTGATTATTTCTATCTGATTTATCTTTGATGACTAGGACTTTATCTTAGACCAAAAGTGCCATCAAGAAATGATTTTGCCATTATAAAAATGAACTGACTTTACACATTCTTAGAGATACAGAGTAGGAGAATATCCTTTGATTTTTTTTTTTTTTTTTATAAAGCAGTGCATCCAATATCATTTTACTAACCAGGCATTAGAGTCTAAGAAAAAAAAAATGCAGCCCAAGACATTGGCTTACAGCTTGATATTACTGTAAGTTCTAAAGGGAGGTACAAACAGAAATGGGGGGGGGAGGATAGGGAGTAAGAACAGATATAGTTTAGTTTTAATAATAGCAGGCACGAGAAGGTCATTTGCTGTATATGCTTTCTTACTAAAAAATTAAAATTATAAATTATGCTGTTAAATATTCTAGTGGGAAGTGACCTGAAAAAAGGTTTAATAATTATCTAAGTGTAAATAGCTCAAGAAAAATGGGCATTTCAAGACATTTCTGTTTGCTTTCATAATAATTAATTAAATAGCCACCTTTTCTATTGCTTTCACTTTGAAAGACAATCCCTGCTCATTATCCAGTTGCTTGTTCTTTGATTACGAGCTGTCAGAGTTTAGGAAGTAGGTTAGGTTCTTATGTACACAGTTTAAGCAATAGTCTCCAAAATGCTGGTAGATCAGAGTGAAGAAGCCTAACTTTCTCTAGCTATGGCATAATAAATTTATATTGAGCCTTAATTAGCAAACCGTGTGTCCTCATCTACCTCGAAATTATTGTATGATAAACAGTTCAGCCTAAAATTTATTATTATTTTTCTTAAATATACAGTGCCCCCCCCCACAAGTAAGGTTTGACAGAAACGATCCCATTAATTGGTTACATTTCCCCCTTGTGGAATCATACTTCATAGATTCTAGATTTTGATATGTAGAGTGCAGAATTGAATACTTTGTGGCCATGTGATGAATTATAAAACAACACAGATTGTGAAGGAAATACTGGCCACCATTCAAATGTCTTAGTTGTTTGTTTACCATAACATTGTTCATATTATAGATGCGACTGTGTGTGTGTGATCGATCTCATATTGTTGACTCACACCCTGGAGTTAAAATTCAGAAGGAATATTGGGCAAACAACATACAAAAGTAGATGTGCATCTGATGTTTTTGTAGGTTATTCATAATCTTAACAGCACTGAGACCAAACAGAAATGTAGCCAATCAAGCAAGATGCATTGATATGACACAGAGTTTCACACCTTTTCACAGAATCTCATCAGACATTTTTGGTTTAATGACTCTTAATTTTGGACTCTACCAGGAATAATGGAACTTCTCTAGGAAGGAATGTGAAAAGATCGAGGGTTCATATCTCTGTGTCCCCTTTGTAAACCACATAATGTATAATATTAAAAAATATTGTCCACCAACTAGGAAATGAGTCTGGGTTTTGGGAAGGGTTCTTCAAAACCAAGTTTAGCTGGCCTAAAAATAGCATGTTTTCATGTCGTTGCTGTTTTTGGTATTCTATTAGTGGGCATTTGGAAGCTCTTTAGGATCCAAAGTTTGTGGCTGCTGAACCCAGAAGCTGTGTCCACTTCAGAAGCTCCCAGAACCCAGTGGAGGTCTGAGGCCTAATATACTTCATTTTAGAATTCTCTACAGTTCTTGAAATACAATCACATTCTGTGGTTGCTCCTACATAGTAAAAAGACAAGGCAAAACTAGCTCTTTCCTTATTTGCTCGAAAAGAGGGACAGTTTTCTCCAGTGACATTCCCAAGAAAAGATAGCAACTTTCATAAAGTTAGTTGAAGAAAACATGTTCTCTGTCCCCGAGCTAAAGCTTCTTTTGGAGAAAGGAAAACAGTAGTCACATAATCTTTGTATGTATGAATTTAAAACTGTGAGAGATGGAGAGGATCCTAAGACAACCAGGACACAGTAAACAGTAACGCTGTCCAATTTGAATTCCCAGCGTGGCTTCACTCTCCTCCTATCTTGAGTTCTTTATATCTTGATCTTGATGTTTCCAGTACTTTGTTATCGATGCAGGTATTTATATTTTTTTCCTATTGATTGTTTCATTATAACTTGCCTTCATTATATCTAGGGCTACCTTGATTTGACTAACAGCCCCTTCTGTTCGTGGCTTTTCATTGGTAGATAAGCCTATTTTTAGTGTATCAAGGAATTCATGAGGCCAACAGAAAGGTTCTTTCATATAGCTGGAGAAACAAACAGACAAAAAGAATAGAGCAAGTTTATAGTGAGGGAGCATATTTCAGCAGCTTTCTGTCTCCTTTGGTAATTTGTCAAAAAATGCAGGTGATTTACATTTCCTTGCACATAGAGGAATGAAGAAGTTTGGAATTTTTATGCATGATCAGGACCTGTGTTTGGGAAAATGTAAACTCATCACAGTGGAAAATGTGTTGTTTGGAGTCTGGGGGTGAAAACAAAGCTGATGGTTTTGGAGAGATTGCCGGAGCCAGATGGCCTAGTACTTCCCCAGTCTGGCGGTCCAACTGCTCCCTCCTGGATAATATACAGCCATTTGTTCGGGGATATTTACGCTAGAGCTGTTTCCATGTGAATGTTTGAATAGCATTAAAAACGAACATATTAGTAGAGATGCATTTATCGAACTTGTGTGACTGTACAAGACAGCCTGTTATCTCTGTCTTCTGTTACCCAGAGGGATAAGGAACTGTTTGGACGTTGGTGAATTGTTTACATAGTTGTTGAACAAGAAAAGATTTGGTCATAGTAATTAAAATATATAAATACTTGGGATCAAACAAATAACCTCAAAGCTCTGTTGTGAGAATTAAATGAATTTGTACATGTAGAGATGTTAAACCAGTGATGGACACATCTTAATGTATAAGAAATGAGATGCTTATGTCATTTCATTATTATTATTAGTAGTAGTAGTAGTATTTCATTGGGCTGACAAAGTCCTTCGTAGAGACTAGAATAGAGGTAAATATAGTTACTGTAGAAATGAAGTAACTTTTATGACTTCTAGGGAAAGAAATATAATATATGAGATTGTTAGAATGATTTAGGATTTTTATTTTTGTCTCAACAGTTGAATAATATAAGGGTTTTTCCTTCTTTGAGACATAAAAAGATTCACTCTCAGTTCACTATGT